TACGATATTGCAAAACGAGTGTGAAAATGTATCGACTTTTCTATACGATATTTTGGAAAAATTACAATTTTACTAAATAATGTCAAGTTTGATCATCCTTTTATGTAATTTTTACTTTCATTGCATGTTTTTGCAAAAGAATAAGGTATAAGTTTCTTGTTAATTGTGTGAAATTGCCAAAACTACCGCAATGATGTAAAGTCGATGTTGATCGAAAGCATGCTGTGAAATATACAAATACATATCTAAGAGACATTTTCACCAACTCTGGCTAACACTAATAGCTAGTTAAACATCGTTACCGATGGTCATTTAGCATTGGGTCGGTAACGTCGGTAACAATGTTTAACTATAAGGATAAGTGTTAACCAGAGATGGTGAAAACGGCCCTAAATGTAATGCACTAATTTGCTTTAAAAGAACAAGCTTGAAATTGACTTATTATTTGAGCATTTATATATGTAAATCATTCCAATTATAAAATTGTGATGCATCCTTATTCGAATTGTAATACGCATTTAATTTCATCTTCCGATTCAAATGGATCGCTCTTTGTAAATTTCAATTGGAGATCATTCAATATTATCAAAATCACGCTCTGCCAACTGAATTTTTGCATATTTCGTCTTTTTTTCCGTAATTTAATAAAATACTTCTTCCTAGAGCTGTCAAACTATCGATAGTCAAGTCCATCGATGTTTTACGATAGTCTTAAGGGTGACTATCGACACTATCGATAGTATCGACCCAATTCATATGTTTTTCTAAATCCATTTATTTTTCATTATCTTGGTTTTATAAATTTGTTTATTTTAGCGGCTCACGGTTGCATTTTAGTATCGAGAAATATTGCCAGAAATTAATTCGCCGTGTAAACAGTCAACAAGCGACTTCAGAAATTTTCCCTTCAATTCGCCTCTTGGAATAAGAAAATGTCTTTCGAAAGTCACTTTACATTCAAGGTGCCACTGCTTATGTAACTGCTTTCTGAAATTTCTCAATTTGATAGTCTTTTGAAATATACTGCTTTGCCAGGTCTGACATGCTCATAAGATGGCAATGAAACCTCTGCTATTTCCATGCTTAAACAAAATGGCGCTTGCCATGAACCAACTAAACAGATCACCCAGCACGGCAACCGTGTATTTGTAATTGTATTTAAGAAAAAAATAATATTAGTTGATAACGGCATTTTTTAATCGGTTGTTTCATGCACACACATGGTTTCATTCCGTTTCATTCACATGGCGGTGAAAAAATGAGGGCACTGGAAAAAAATATATATTTTTTTCGCACACCGTCCTGGGTGATCTTTATTCGTTCGTTCATGAAATAATGCTGCCAAGTTTTGTTCACTTTGAACCAATACGTGAAAATGTCAAAAGCGCTAGGAAAGAGAAGACGTATCAATGAAACGATAGTGGCGATAGTGCTAAAACTATCTATAGTTATTTCAAGTGATCAGACTATCGATAGTATCGTCGATAGTTTGACAGCTCTACTTCTTCCTAGTTACAACTTAATTGCAGCTGCAGCCGAAACTAAATTTTAAGTTGGTACTTAGCCAGAAAAGTCGAAACTAAGGCGACTATGCTATATATTTAGTTGTAACTTAGGATAGTTTCGACTTAGTTGTGAACTAAATGTGACTATGAATATGCGCCATTGGTACTATCGATTCTTCGATTACTTTTTGGAAAATTTAATACAAACTACATATATATACATCTTTTATATTTTATTATTTGAGTTAGAATAAAGCAAACGTACACCTTAATTAGTATATGTACAGAACAAGATATAATACAAGATTGCAATAAAATATATAAATATAAGGGTTGGGTTTAGTAGCGGCCCCAACTATTTCGGGCTATTCCGTCCAAAGGGGTGGCACGATCCAAAAAAAATTCCACACACTTGTAGTCAAGGATCTACACATTATATTAGAACCTACTTTTGTAATTTTTGGCCCGTAATTTATTTAGAAATTTGGTTTGAATTATGCTCTTTTTTGTAAAATTCTCACTGGGGCGGCAGCCCCAGGTTTAGCACGTAGAAAGAGAATTCTAGTTACCTCATCCTTTCCCAAGGCTACATCACTATAATAATAGTCCCAACGGTTTTTACCCTCCATTACAGCCCATCCGCACGAAGGGCGCAGTCCGCATGACGTACGGAAACCAGTATTTTCAACTTTTGCGCCGACTCACGATAGCCAGGAGTTTGTTAAGTGTCGAGATCTAAAACTGTTCAGCTACAGAACTAAATTCATCAGCTGATTTTATGTCTTTATGTTAATAATTCATTTATTGAGAGAGGAGAGTACCGTTTTCTTAATACTGAAAAGCGGATCTGATATATCAAACGTGCTGGAATGAGAGTTAAAATCCTGGCATAAGCAACGGAGTGGGTCGTGCAATTCAAATTTAGTTTTACAAGCTTTCAGAAATAGGGGACAAAAGTGTCTTGATACCCGGGAGGGAACATTAAGGCTAACTTCACCCAGAAGAAGAGCCTGCCAGTAATTTAACTATAAAAATTGTACCAAGCATTTGCCTGCGACTGGCCAGTGTAGGAAGTTTGAATCGGCTCGTATAAGGCGGAAGGTTATATTAAAAATCCCAACGGAAATTTCTTAAAGCAAAAAGTAGGAATTGTTTTTGAATTAATTCTATCTTGTCTGAGTAAATTTGATACCTTCGATTCCAAACCACTGAACCGTATCCCAGAATCAGTCTAACTAATGTTGTAAACAGGGCTTTAGTGATATAAAGTTCACAAAGTTATTCTAAAATAAAGATGTGAGTGTTTTTACCTCATACACAGACAAATATAAAGCTCCCTGCCAACCACGGCTCAGCACTTTCTCCTGAAAATCAAATGATTTACCAACACATACCCAATTTTTTTGTCATCTCACCCACACACTCAAAAATTGTCGAAAAAAATGTCCCTAAGTAAGAGCAGCGTAGCTAATAAGAATTCGTAGTCTTAATAAGAATTATATGCGTTAGAGCGGGCAAGTGAAAATCAGCCGAAATTTGACAGTTAATTTGAAATTTGATTCCAGTAGGCTGCGAAGAAAATCATAAATTTTTCGCGAAACTTTGGAGGTAAGAAGACTTGGCTAACAATTTCATTTAATTATAATGTAATTTTTTCTTTGATAAAAAATATATTAGTTGCGTTCGCGTAGCTGTTAATTGTTCATGTTTAACCAAAACTTTCAGGTTTTTGCGTTCGCGTACGCAAAAAACTTGCAAAGTAGGGGAAATTGAGAGAGCAAAGTGACATTTAATTTTGAGGGGAAGCTGTTAGTTTCTGCTGGAAAAATTTTTGCCAACAGCAATTTGCCAACAGGAAAACAGCTGATCAAAAACAGCTGGTAGGAATCTACGCAAATCACAAAATTGAATTTGATGGTTTGGAAGTTAAGATGATAAAATGCAAGTGATTGAACTTGTAAGAACTAAGAAGTTATTCGTTTAATCAATAAACTGTGTCAGGAAAACTTTTTGTGGTGAGTTTTGTAGGCCTTAAGTTTTACAGTTTTGAATGTAAACAAAAATTCTATTAGCTGTTCGTCTAACTTGCAAGTTTCTGCAAATTTCCTGTTCGCGTACTATTTTGGATATATTTCTCTTGTGAGAGAACAGATGACAATTCGGCGGAATTTTGCTGTTGGATGTTTTTTACTGGAGATTTTATATATCCATAGATTGCCAAACATCAGCAGCAGAGCCATCAGAATCTTGGAGGTAAGAAGTTTAACAATTGTTAACAATTTCATTTGATTATAATGTAATTTTTTTTTTAGATTGCCAAACATCAGCACCTTCGACGCCCACAGCACCTTCAACGTGCCAACGTTTAGAATATTCCAGCTACATTGTTCGGTGAATTTTATTGTTTAAATCAGTCATGCCTAGCGCAGGGCACTTGCATATGGAATTCTGCCAGCGCAGAGCACTTGCTTATGGAGTTCTGCCAACGTTGGGCAAGACTGGTTTAAATATTAATAAACGCGGTTGCTCCAGACGCAACTAAATACATGTATGTATGTACTTTTGTGTTGATATCGTCGGTGATACTTCAAACATTTCTGCAAGAATTATTACCTCTGGCACTTATTTGTTATCATCACCGGAGTACATCTGCCAAAAGTTATAATATACTAAACGAGTGACGAAAATGTATTCCTTTTTCTGTAAGGGACGGGTGAGAGATCATTTAATTAAGGTTTTGCAGTATCACTAATAATAATAATAGATAGGCGCTTACACATATATTAGTGTTTCGCCGAGCTTCTCCTCCGATTTGTGGCGTGTGCCTTGATGTTGTCACACAAAGCAGACCGACCTACAGTTTTACGCCGACTCCGAGCGGCGAGAGAAGCTGTTTTTCATGGCAGAAATGCACTCGGAGGTTTACCATTGCCTGCCGAGGGACGACCGCTCACTGGCGACACGTAAATATGTAAGCAATAACAGAAAGGGCAGTGAAAAGTGCAACAGAATGCCAGCCTTTGGCTACAGCTACCTACATGTGTATGTATTTAAACAAAAAAATAAAGTATTATTCGAATATTTAATGAGTGCAGTGTAATCACAGTATACCAGTAGAAAAGGTTTTTGTTTTTGTAACTGTTTCGTGGTGAAAGTCCTTTATGGGGACCAAATTTCCCCACAAGAAATTGAGCGCATGGTTGATTTTGCATGCCAAAAGAACGAATATTAGAAAAAATTGAAAAGAGTCTGAGATAATACCATTATATTCGACTAAAAATAAACACAATAGTGTGCGCTAATTAGATAATGTTATAATCATGTTGAAAAAACTCTTTTCAACTCTTATTTTTCAAAAAATAATATTGCGGATCGGATCGCTCTGAGCGCTTGTGGCAAAATGTTGTTCACAAAGAAAATGCAGCTCTTTTAGTTTTTATTTCTGTATCGCAGAGTTTCTATTTCTTGCTAATTCGGTTTGTGAAATGGTAAACAAATTATTGAAATTTATTGATTTGATGTGTTTAACATTTGATTAACACAAATTTCTTTCTTTTCAGGCCACAAATTACAAGCACAGCATCATCAACGGTCATTGCAAGGGGAGCTACTGCAATCTCTGCGGTTTTTCCTCTTGGTAAATGCGTTCTGGACGTGACAAAGGATGGTCTTCCAAGTCAGCCGGAATCCCCACCCATCTATTTACAATCTATTGTACAATGTGAGCATTGGAATTCCATAGTGCAAATTCATATCCTATTTTCTCTTAACATTTTTATTTGCATTTGTAGGAGCGGCTGATAGCCGACTTGCGTACATAAATAGAAAATACAAAACGTGGTGAGAACCTGAATTTGAAGATGATGAAGAGTACAAAAAGTTGGAAACTGAGAACATGCATCGATTAGCAATTCTGAAAAAGGTTAGACATTTTCAATTTTATATCTTTGTTCGCCGACATTATAGGACATGCCATCATTGCAGGCTATTGTTGCAGAACAAAACGCCGCAAGCACTGCTTTTCTTGCTAAATATATACCAGCACTACTGCCCACCGCCGTCTGTGCAATTATTTCGATACGTGGACAAACGCCATCTCGTCGGTATTCCAACTGCTTGCCGACACTTCAGCTATTTCAACTATTTCAACTAAAGCATGGACTCAAATATGTGATGTAGTACCCCGTGAAGTGTTCCAAAAAATCTATGACAGATTAGCTGTTACAATTACTCCTATTATTTTTATCAGTCACGCATGATAAGAGGTTGCAAAAGTTTTAGACTCGAAGAACCTACTCGTAAAAGACGATGACCGCAAAATTATGTGGGCTGATGAAACGTCTTCTGGCATGCCGTTGACGATCGTTAGTCAGACGGAGGCTTCACATACGATATTTTAGACCTGGAACTCGTTAGCGGAGGGAGAACGTGAAGGCATATTCAATTCCGATTTTATGGGTTGATTACCGATGGCAATCGAACTTCAATTGAGTGGCCAGTGGCTGAAATGGTATTCTGTTATAGCCACCAATATGTATTCTCCTTTGACAAGATGTTGGAGAATCGCGGCAACACAGCCGTATACATACTCTATGCTTTTATGCGCATTTGCTAAATTTCTCGCAGCTAGATAAATAGTTTGACAAAGGCAGGAGGCATATCTTCACCATTATATCTTCAAGTAAAAAAGTTCCACGCATGCAATAAAAGAATACAATAAAACCAAAATATTTTCTCAAAACTATAAAACAAAAAATTGCACGAATAAAATTTACAATTTAAAATATAATAAAATATCGAAATTATTTTTGTATGGACATTTTTACGAAATGAATCTTAAAGCACCCACAGTAAGTCCTAAACCTATAAATGACTAATAGATAGTTAGATAGATAATATGATGAGGTATGCACTGCGACCTAATGATCTATTGTGCCCTCCGCTATTCACAATACTTCCTCCAAGCCAAGATCCCTCAGGAAGTTCCAAAGTTTCTTCGGGGATAAGGAGTCAATGTGCTCTAACTGTGGCCACATTGAGCCTAAACTCCTAAACTAAATGACTAATAAGAAAAATAATGAATAACATAAATCCCCAGAAATGTGAACAAGTAAATATTTTGAGAAATCTCTAAAGAGTAGCGAAACTCTATCTCAAATATATCAAGTGATTTTATGCAAAAAATACAACCGAGTTCAATGCTCATTCCAGTCGTTCTGGTTTAGTAGACCCGACTGCCCCCCCCTTTTTTTTTAAAAATAGGGAAATGAGTACGTATTCTACTAAAAAAATATCAAGATACATCCATATTTAAAGATTTTAAGTAAAAACTTCCAACTGAAGAAGATGAAATTCCGGAACCGAGGAAAACGTACAAACTACATGTGATAAATACTTACATAGAAATTTACTATGTTTGGAATCAGGTGTACAAGCCTCTTTATTGAAAATTCTTAAAGAAAAATATGTTCTGATTCTAATGAAAAGATGTTTTAAAATATTGGGATTAGAGTTACTGCAGCAATAATATGGTTTTATAACACTATTTTTTAAAAATAAAGCCGTTTCCTATATCTTAATATCTGTTAGGTCTGGGCAAACTTTGAAAGGTTTGCCAGTAAGTGTCTTGAACCAGAGGCTCGTTACATACCCTTTCGAGGGTGCGAAACGAAAAAAATTCCCATTTATTATTATGGAAAAATTAAATGGTTTTTTTAATCCCGCGATGCTGTTAAGCGAAAAAGGTTCATTAATAATGAATAAAACTTCTTCCGAAATAAGCATTCTACCAGAAAATTGCAGAAATAGTAAAACAGCTAATCGAATAGGCAGCTAAACGGAATGAACCGTAGACAGAACTACACTGGGTGTAAATTCAACGGACGTCAGCAACGGAGCAGCAGAAGATAATGGTAAGCGTGTAAAATGTTATAACTGCAATGAGTTTGGGCATATAGCGGCAAAGTGCCCCCAACCTCAGAAGAAGCCACGATGTAGCAAGTGCTCTAAAGTGGGGCACGACGCTCGTAAGTATTCAGCCGATTCGAAACATACGGTTGCCAAGATTGATGGCAACAATGGTGTGCAGCAACAGGT